AGAGCACCAGCTCAGACTGGAAGGGAAGGACAGAGAGGAATGTAATGTTTCTCAGGGGAATTAGTATTACATGTTTGAGGGGAAGTACAGAGACTAGGATATCTTTTCCACTTCCTTTCTGTAAATTTCTGAAATTAGTAAGTGGTGTGTAATTGTTACTCGGGAATAATCGGTTATGACCCAGATACAGGAGAGAGTCGGGAGTGGGCAGGGCCATATCAAATCAGATGAGATTTAGCTCCCCACCCAGAGCAGCCCTTGAAGTCGCCATGAAGAGCCCCTGTCTGGCCAACCCCCTCTCAGAGAGGATCCTTCATGGCCAGAACCTTAGGGGGCTGCATCTCTTGTGAGTTCCCCCAGTGCTGCCCTGCAGAAGTGAGGCTGGGAGCCTAGGCCCCCCACTGCAAGCCCCCCACACCAGCGTATGGATGGCACCTTGGATTTGAAAACTCCCCATCCTGGGATTCTGCAATAAGCTGTTTTTACTCATGGCAACCCAGTAACAGTTAGGAGCTCCCTGCCTGGGTTCAGATAAGTGGTCGGTCCTGACAGCCAGTGGGGCTGTGGAGCCCCACCGGGAAGTATGGTGGCATGTCCCTGCCACCACAGCACTGCCCCAGAGAGCCGGCCTGTGGGTTAGTGTGCTGGAGCGCTGCTGCTTACAGGGAGACTGCACCATGTGTGACCTCCTGTCTCCTGGCTCGCTGCCAGGGCTACCAGCTCATCAGAGAAGACTTGCACTGTCCGAGTCCAAACTCCTGTTGCCGTGGCACCTGCCAGAATGGCTTCTCAGGACTTGCACAGGCTCAGCTCCCTCCGGCCTATAAACTTCCACCCTGGGGAAGAACACAATGCTCAGCCTGGACACAGATTGTCCTTCTGTGCAGAGGCTCCATGAACTCAGCCTGAACTCTGGCTCCGTCCAGGAGGTGGCCCTGTGCTTGATGCAGGGAAGGAATGAAATCGCCTCACTTCCTCCTGCCACACCCCCCAAGGTCGGGCTCACTGTCAAGCTTTATTGACAAGTGTTAAGGGCACGCACATTGGACCCACACTGCCTGGGTTTGAATCCAAATGTACATGTTATGAGATCTGGAAGACATTTCTTACCGTCTTTGTCTCCATGTATTAACTCAAAGATGGGGATAATAAAGGTACCTTGAGCAAGCTGCTTAACTCTTCTATGTCTGTTTCTTCGCTTGTAAAGTGGGGATGTTAATAACACCTTTGTGGGGCAGTTGCAAGGTGCTTAGGACAGTGCCTGGCTAGTAGAAGTTGCCGGGCACAGCACAACTGAGATGACATAATAAACCCTGGCCTGCCTGCTGCCTCCAGGGGCTGGCTTCCTGTACTCCGTCTTGCTGTAGTGTGTGCACACAGCTCTCCAGGAAAGCAGAGGCAGAATTCAGAAGTGGAAGTCAAGCCTGCAGACCACTAAACCCTGGCTCAGCCCCTGATCCCCATAGTGTCTCCCTCTAGGGACTAAACCCCTTGCACATTTGTGGCACGATCCCAGAACACCCACTCACTTGTGGGCTGGGAAGAGGGGCACTGTGTCATTCAGAAGTGGATTGTGCTGTGGGGCCCCCACCCTTGTGCCCTGACTGGTGAGTCGACCCCCCTTTCCATCCCTTGATAAATAGAACTGGTTTTTCATGTGGTGTTTGTCTCTCCTCTCCCCTAACGTGGAGGCCTAAACATCACCACCGAGCTTATCTATACAATGGATTTCCTGCTGGTGTTGGATCTGTCTGGCTCCCCACTGGGTAATAACTTACGTCGCCTGAACACACAGATATGCTGACATCTGTCTGTGATACTGCCGAGCTTATCTATACAATGGATTTCCTGCTGGTGTTGGATCTGTCTGGCTCTCCACTGGGTAATAACTTACGTCGCCTGAACACACAGATATGCTGACATCTGTCTGTGATACTGGTGGCCTTGGCAGACCCTGGCTCCCCCAGGCTGGGTGGGAATCTGCACACATTACCCCTGCTGACATGAACTGAACATCCTGGCTGGCTGCGGAGGAAGAGCCAGAACCAGGTGGGTGGGGAAGGTGTAGAAAGTTTATTCAACCATCATCTGTTTGTTGAGGGCTCCTGTGTGCCAGGCCCCATCCTGGGCTCTGGACAGACAGAAGTGTAGAGGACACAGGCAGCGTTTGAGGAGCACTCAGGCTGGCTGTGGACCAGACATGTAACTATAACATGCAGAGCTTAGTTCTGGGGTACTAGTAAGGACATAGCCTGTGGGAGCATGGGGGAGGGGCATTCGATCTAATCTGGGGGCTCAAGGAAGGCCTCAGGGCTGAGTTTTAATGAAAAACGTTCCTTCCTTGGAAATAAGTTCTCAGCAGCAAGAGCCCAGGTGGGTCTGGGGAAAGGGGAGCACTCCTGTGGGCTGAATTATCACAGCCTTCTGCATTTGTGGTGTGTTTGACCATGCCCAGCATCCAATGCATCAAAAGTGGGCCCGCAGGGAAATCCTCTTCTCTGCTGCCCCTCTTCCCAGGCGCCCTTTTCCTCTGGTTTTAGGCAGTATTGGTGCTTCTAATGAGATTTTGTTTGGAAGGGTTTTTGCCCAGTACAGCTATCTACATCATTGCGTGTCATCCCTGGGGAAAGAACCTTGTCTTGTTTAACATGCAGTGCCCACTGAGGAACAGCATGGGATGCATACAGATCCTGTCTTGTCACCCTAACCACATGGCCCCAGTGCCAACAGGACCGAGTCCATACTCCAGTCAGCATTTCAGACCTTCAACATCTGGTTTCAAACTAATTTTTTTTTCTCTCTGTCCCCTCTCTTCTCCCAAAGTATCCTTCTGTCCATCCACCTTGAACTTCTTTCTCTTTGAATGGGCTATCCCCTCTGCTGAAACGTTCTTTTTTCATTTTATTCCTGGCAAACCAGAAACAGCACAACATCGTGGGCTCTGGCATGAGATCACCTGGGTTTGAATCCTGGCTCTGCCCCTTTCAATCTGTGAAACTGTGCACCAATTACTTAGCTGCTTTGTGCCTCAGTTTCCCCATCTGTGAAATGGGCATAACAACAGTTCCTTATATTCATTGTGAGGACGAAGAGCTAAAACACATTGAGCACTTGAAACAGTGTCTGACACATAGTAAGTGTTCAAAAAGTGTAGGCTACAATAATAATAATGTTTAAAGACCCTCCTCTGGGAAGTCTTTTCCAGCCTACGAAGAGCTAAAACACATTGAGCACTTGAAACAGTGTCTGACACATAGTAAGTGTTCAACAGGTGTAGGCTACAATAATAATAATGTTTAAAGACCCTCCTCTGGGAAGTCTTTTCCAGCCTACCAGGCAGGATTAGCAGTTCCCCTTCTGGGCTTCAAATGGAACCAACCACACAGGGTTCTAGTGATTCATTTCACAGTTTGAAGTTACCCCTAGCCTGAGAGTTCCCAAAAGACAGGAACTAGGTCTCAGCAATAAGAATAACAACGTTTACACTAGTGTATTCCAAGCTCTGAACAATATGCTTTTTTCTCATACAATTTTTTTATTAAGGTGTAATTCACATACTATAACATTCACTCTTGAGTATGTAATTCAGTGGTTTTAGTATATTCACAAAGTTGTGTAGCCGTCACCACTAATTCCAGAACATTCTAAAACTGTAACCATTAGCAGTGATTCCCCAGTCCTCCCTCCCTCATTCCCTTGCAATCACTAATCTATTTCTGTCTCTAGGGATTTGCCTGTTCTGGAAATTTCACATAAATAGAATCATACAATATGCATCCTTTTTTGTCTGGTTTCTTTCACTTAGCACAATGTTTCCAAGGTTCATCCATATTTAGAACTTTCTTCCTTTTTATGGTTGAATAATATTCCATTGTATGGATATACCACATTTCATTTATTCCCCAATTAATGGACATTTGGGTTGTTTCCAGTTTGGGCTTAGTATGAGTAAGGGTGCCATGAGCATTCACATACAGGTTTTTATATGGACATGTTTTTTTATTTCTCTTGGGCATGTATACCTGGGAGGAGAATTGTGAGCTCATATGGTAAGTCTATGTTTAACTTTCTGAGGACTGCCTGGACTGTTCAGAGCATATGCACCATTTTACATTCCTACCAGCAATGTATGAGGATTCTGATTTCTCCATATTTTCACCAACATTTGTTTTTCACCATCTTTTTTATGATAGCCATCCTAATGCTTGTGAAGTGAGATCTCATTGTGGCTTTGATCAGGGTTTCACAGTTTTCCTCAACTAATGGTGTTGGACATCTTTTCCTGTACTGACCCTTTGTATATCTTCATTGAAGAAATGTCTATACAAATATTTTGCCCTTTCCTTAATTGGGCTACTTGTATTTTTATTGTTAGGGTGTAAAAATTCTTTATATATGTTAATGCAAGTCCCTTTTCAGATATATGATTTGCAGATGTTTTCTCCCATCTGTGGAGCTATCTTTTCACTTTGTTCATAGCAGCCTTTGAAGTATCAAAGTTTTAATTTTGATCAAGTCCAATTTATCAATGTTTTTCTTTTGTTGCTAGTGCTTTCGGTGTTATAGGTAAGAAACTATTGCCTGATCCAAGATCACAAAGAAGTACCATATGCTTTTTAAAAGTGATCTCATTTACAATAACTCTATGAGGAAAGAGTAGTAGACCCACTTCACAGATAAGGAAACTAAGCTCAGATGCCAGAGCTGGGATTTCATCCAGTCAGTCTGAGTCTGAACCTCATGTGCATCTTACTGTACGTCCTTTCTTAGTCCCTTTACCTCTGCATCCTTCAAGGGCTTGGCACAGAGCTGGTGCATGGTAGGCCCACAGGTAACGTGAGTTGGATGGATGAATGACAGGCCCTCACAGGCACGTGCTTTGTGCTTGCTGGTTGATTTGGGTAGACTGGGGTTTGCTCCTCAGTTACACTGCTGACTGGGGGTTTGTGTCTATGATGTTGGAGGTTCCTGAGAACCTCTCTCCTCTCTCACCTCTGCAGTGTCTCATCGTTGGGGGAGGACCATGTGGCTTACGAACTGCCATTGAACTTGCCTACCTGGGAGCCAAAGTAGTCGTGGTGGAGAAGAGGGACACCTTCTCCCGGAACAACGTGCTGCACCTCTGGCCTTTCACCATCCATGACCTGCGGGGCTTGGGCGCCAAGAAATTCTATGGGAAGTTCTGTGCTGGCTCCATCGACCACATCAGTGAGTGGAGCCAATGGTGGCACTCCATGATGGGAGGGGGCTGACCCTGGGTGGGCACATCTCTCCATGTCTTAGAGTCCCCAGATTGTTCCATCTTGCAAGTCTCTCGGGGCTCCACACATCCCACTAGTAGACATTTAGTGAAAGGCCAGCTTTGTATTTTGTTCCAGGCCCAGTGCTATGTCCCACTAGGCTGTAAGCACCATGAGGTCAGGGACTGTGTGGATGTCTTTTCACCACAATATCCCCAGGGCATAAAAGAGCACTTGACACATAGCAAATGCTCAATAAACATCTGTTGAATAAATGAGTGAAATTTGGAAAACAGAGTCAGAGGTAAATAGCATAGTCTGTACTCTTAGAGAGCTGTTTGAGATTTTGTCATTAATAAAATGTGCTTTAATAAAGTTAGTCACACTCCCTAGACAAGTTCAGAGGAGAGAGCCACACAAAACCATTCAATGGGACAGGTAGTTGGGACCCTCTTGTGCAAAGGAGTTTGAACATTGTGCTGCGAGTGCTGGAATGACACAGTTGGATTCATGTTTCCTGACAGGTGCCATACCAAAGTTTCCTTGAGCGTTAAAAAAAGAGAGAGAGAGAGGGCATCCTGATGGGACTTCAGCCAGAATAGGAAGGGAAATAGAACATGGATTGCAGGTCCAGGGCCTTCCCTGAATGCTTACGTAGGGCAAGGCCAAGGCCCTTCTGCTCTAATGTTACTCAAGCCTGGTCTCTCAGGACAAGGTCTGTGCAGGTGGGCTTTGGAAAGGGCAGCTCAGGTCCAGGGCCTTCCCTGAATGCTTACGTAGGGCAAGGCCAAGGCCCTTCTGCTCTGATGTTACTCAAGCCTGGTCTCTCAGGACAAGGTCTGTGCAGGTGGGCTTTGGAAAGGGCAGCATCCCTCCTTGCAACTTTGCAGAGAGGAGGTCTTTAGCAATTTATACTTAGGGCAATAGTGATCCCTGAAGGTCAGGGAGGATAACACTGTAGGGAGAGTTCAAGGGTTTGAACAGGTTTGGGTTCAAATCTTGAAATCTGTCTCTTCCATTTCTGTATGACCTGGCTTTAATTTCTTATCTTCTTCAAGCCTTGGTTCTGTCTCCAGTAAAGTGTGATTAATGCCTGTCTCCCAGAATTGCTGAGAAGATTAAGTGAGGTCCAGTTTGTAATGTACATAGTACTATGCCTGGTGCACAGTAGGAACTCAGGAAAATGTTTTACATCCAGTGATGTACAGTGAGCAAGAAGCAGCCATGGTCCCCAGACTTCAGCATGCAGAGCTGCATTCTCTCACCCAGTGTTTTTCTACACTTGATCTTAGCCAAAAGGCTGAGAAACGAAATCACCCAGTGTTTTTTTTCTGTGGGGATGGGTGGGAGGAGAGCCCTGAGAGCCATGTTCTTATGATGACAAAAATTGATGGGAAAAGGGAGTGGGGTTTGGGCGGGAATGACTGGAGGGAATTGTCAGCCGCATAGGGTGTAATTTATTCAGACACAGTAGAAATTGCCAGCAGTGGCCCTGGAGTTCATTCCCACTTTGGGATGAGAAAATTCCAGGAGTCCAACAGAAAGAAATTTGCGTTTGCCCAGAGAGCTGCAGTGTCAGCTTGCAGGATGTTCTTTACCACCCACGGAAGAATGTATGTTGGTTACCAATTTGCATGATGACATAGAGCTCCACTTTCTCATCAAGTCCTCCTGAGAGGCAGAGCCAGGCACCAGGAGGTCCGTGAGTGCCCTGGGGCTGTTGGGCTGGCTTCCCAGCCAAGAGCCTCTCTCTGCCCTCCTCAGTGGGGCTCTTGTTTAATGCCTGCTCCTTGGAAATACTGCAGCATGCAGAAGCGCTGGCAGGACTCTGGAAATGAAATTGAGACGGTCAGAATGGCCATTCTCAAGGGCAGCTCCAGTACCTGTCAGAAGGGAGACAAAGAGAATTTATTGAGTACCTGCTGTGTGCTGGAACCAGATAGGCTAGGAGCCATGAAACCAGGAGGAGAGGCCAGGCCTCCCCCGGAAGGACTGGTTTGTGGCAGGAGGTGGTTTGGGTTTGTTTTGTTTTGTTTTTGTTTTTGTTTTCCTCTGACTGGTAAGGGGATTGTAACCCTTGGCTTGGTGCCGTCTGCACCACGCTCAGCCAGTGAGCGCACTGGCCATCCCCATATAGGATCCAAACCCGCGGCCTCGGCACTACGAGCACCGCACTATCCCGAGTGAGCCATGGGGCCGGCCCGTGGTTTGGGTTTTTTAAACCCCAGCTGATCAGCCTCCTTTCAGACCAGCCATGTGTCCACCCCAGCTCTGTCCTCAGGCTCAGCATTGCTTAGCGGTTCTCACTTGTCCTGTGTTAGCATCCTCCTGCAGCTCCTGCTGCAGCTCTTCCAGGCTTCCACCACAGCCTCCTGGTCTCAGCAGAGGACCGCCCTCCTGTGCTCAGGGGAGGGGAGACCACTGGCAGCACTCCCCGTTCCAGCCCCCTCCCTCCTCCTCTGCCAAGCCCTCATTCCTTCCGGCACCCCCACGGCAGAGGCAGAGCTGGCCACCTTCTCTCCAACTCCAGTCCCTCTTGGTCTCTTTCCCTCCTTCCCCTGTCCCTGTCCCTAGTCTTCCTGCTCCCACCTCACACTGGCCCCCAGCCTCCATTACTACCCCATAACCCTTCCTTACCGCAGAGCATTTGTCCTAGCTTTCATCTGTTCACACCCCGTCCATTGCAGTCTAATTTCTCCCCACCACCAGGCTAGAGAGACTTTCACCAAGGTCTCCAGAGCCTTCCTAACCCCCAAGTGCCCTGACCTCATGTAGCCTTCATAGTCCTTAATCTCTCCATGGGGTTTGATATGCTTGGCCCCTCCTCTCTTGGCCTCCAGGACCCCATCACAGGCCCTGTTCTGCTGGCCCTCCCCCATAACCACCAGGCCCTGCCCCCTTCTGTTTACCTGTGTTTCCTCCGTTACAGGTGTGTTTCGTGTCTCCTGTGCCTAGCAAGGAACCTGGCACATTGTTGATGCTCAATAAATGTTAAATGAGCTAAGCCCACTAAATACAGAGGGGCCCACAGAAAATTTAAAATTTATCACTCTACAGAAAAACGTTTGGAGACATACCCATCTGTGCTGAATGGCAGGGGACAAAACAGGGACTGAGGTTCCACTCATTGGGGGTGGGTTTTGAAGAGTGGGTAGGAGGTGGAGAACCATGACCCAGCTCGTGGGGAGAATTTCCCAGTTTGGAGACATACCCATCTGTGCTGAATGGCAGGGGACAAAACAGGGACTGAGGTTCCACTCATTGGGGGCGGGTTTTGAAGAGTGGGTAGGAGGTGGAGAACCATGACCCAGCTCGTGGGGAGAATTTCCCACCCAGCCGTACACTGGGTGGTGAAGAGCTTGGGCATAGGCCCCACGTAATGGGCCACTGATCCCTGACTTTACTCATGGGCCTTTCCTCTCTGTCTCCTCTTTTCATCTTTATCTCATCATCTCATCAAACCCAGAGCCCAGCTCAGGAAAAACGCAAAGAAGACAGAGTCTCCCTCTCACAGCATTACATGATGGCCAGGGCAGGGTCTTGGAGCCAGACAGACCTGGGTCCACATCCTAGTTTTGCTATATGTGACCTCAAGCAAGTCACTTAATCTTGTTAAGTCTCAATTTCTCATCTATAAAATGAGAATAATAATGATCCCAAAGAGCCACTGTTAAGGGTTAAAACACAGAGTGCTTGGCGCATAATTAGTGCTCAGTAATGGTCACTGCTGGTACATTGCTGTGCTCAGAGATCATTGAGCGGTGTCTGCATACAGGAGGCACTCGGGCATTGCTACTGACAGTTCATCTCCTTTCTCCTTCCACCCTAACAGGTATCCGGCAGCTGCAGCTCATTCTATTCAAGGTGGCCCTGATGTTGGGAGTTGAAATCCATGTGAATGTGGAGTTTGTGAAGGTTCTAGAGCCTCCTGAAGATCAAGAAAATCAAAGTACAGTACAATTTTCCTTTACTGTCTAGAAATCAGATATTGCAAAGTGGAAATCACATTTGCAGCTCTCAGTGGATGTTTCTATACAAGTTATTCTTATTTGGAGCTGTTTGGCATAATCCTAACGAAGCATATTTTATCTTTTTTGACCATTGCTATCACTTTAGGTTTGGTCTTCAGCTCTCAGGGGATTTATTATTAAGCCATTAAACCTATAATTTGCTTACTCCGTCACTAGGAAATGCTACTTTGACAAATGAAATCTCATCGATAAGTAGTATAGAAGACATAAATTTGGTTGTTTAGTAAAGTTCGTTCACATGTTCCTCGGGCCATGTGTGTGTGTTCACACTTAGCTACATGGTCGCACTTGTAGCCATATGATATCTTAACATCCAGTAAAGAGAGGCTTCTGGAGCAACTATGAAATAAATGTTCAAGATATTATTTGGTATATTGAATTATAATTTATAAACCATAAGTTTTGCCCATATAAGTATGTCTTATTTAGTACTGTTTCTCTTTTTCCTTTTAATGTGTTTATTTAAATTCTGCTCTTTGACACACACCACCATCAGAGAATTTGTTTGTGATGCCTCTGCATCTTACTGTCCAGATCTTCTACTGCCTGGGAAGGGCTTTGAGTTTGGGGCCAGCTTAGTGTCAGACACCTCGCAGTTTCCTCACAGTCCCCTGCCCAGAGTATTTGAGAATTTAGGGGAGGCGTTAATTGGCTTTTGTAGCAGGACAGCTTTCATTATTTAGCACTCAGAGACTTGTGTGCCGTTCTTTACCTTTTCCAGACCTCTAGTGAAACAAAAAATTCTAATTACTGGTAACCAGCCAGGCTTCACCTGAAATGTTTTTACGAAAGGCAATGTACTGCACAGCAGACATTCTGAGCACAAAGTAGAAAGTCAGCCTGCTTTCATTACGCCCGCACATCCTTTTGGGTCTGTTTAGCAGTGGGAAGGCCCTGAGGAATGTGAAAAGGCAATGTACTGCACAGCAGACATTCTGAGCACAAAGTAGAAAGTCAGCCTGGTTTCATTACGCCCGCACATCCTTTTGGGTCTGTTTAGCAGTGGGAAGGCCCTGAGGAATGTGGGATTGTGGAGAGAACACGGTGGGCTCTGTTGAGAAAAGTAAGGTGCAAGTGAGACTAGTAGGAGAATCACTGAGGACAGATTCCAGCAACAGCCAGTAAAAACCAGGCACGGGCTTGGCTTTGCTGGTTCACTGTGTCCCAAATTGAGCTGACGCTAAAGCCAGCAGGACGCCAAGTTAGGGTTCGAGTCTGGGCTGCTCCAGCCTTTCCTCTAGAGGTGGCTGGGTGCACATACCTGTTTGCATGTCTGTTTCCCATGGCCGCACGGAGGGGGCATCAGCACTCTCACTCCTCACTGTCTCTGCCAACTCATCTCCTTTTTCTGTCCTGGTAGAAATTGGCTGGCGGGCTGAGTTCCTCCCTGCAGACCACTCTCTGTCAGAGTTTGAGTTTGATGTCATCATTGGCGCCGATGGCCGCAGGAACACCCTGGAAGGTGAAGACTCTTCTTCTTGGGGCTGTGGTGGGAGGGTGGAAGTGGGAGGGGGGTGTGTGGGGAAGGGCCTGGAGAAAGGCGGGCAGGATAGCAGATGCCAAACCTGGGTGGGGGTCCTGATAGAAGGGCAGATGGTCCTGCCTGAGGCGGAATGACCCATCCTCCTGTTTTGAGGACAGCCTTTCATTCTCTCTGAACCTCGGTTTCCTCAGCTGTAAAACGTGGACAGCAGAACCCTTTCAGAGCCTTGTCAAGAGGGCTGGGGAAAGACTCCATATGTAAAAATGCTTTGTAAAGATAAAGAGCCACGGAAAATCAGCATGCACGCATTGAGTACCTGCTGGAAGTCATGGTGCTAAGCACTTTCACAGTGACTTCATCAG